GGATGTATCATGACGTGCATGAAATCACGTGCGGTACACCTAGAAGTCGCACATTCGATGACGACCGATTCGTTTCTACGGACCTTGCAGAGATTTATCAACCGAAGAAGCGTACCGGTCGATATATGCTCAGATAATGGATCGAACTTTGTGGGCGCTCACCGGGACTTGCAGCCTTGGCACAAGAACATAAACAGGGACGAACTGCAGAATCGAACAGTGGCCTACGGCATACGATGGCATTTCAACCCTCCACGAGCCAGCCACCGAGGCGGCGTATTGGAACCCATGATCCAGGTCCGCCAGACGGATATTACTGTCAATCATGGAGCAGCAGCCGCCTGACGACGAGACGCTGAACACTGTCATGACTGAGGTGGAGCGAATTCTGAACAACCGCCCCCTGGTTCCAGTATTGAACGGCGACCCCACCAACCTGGCGCTCACCCCAAACGACTTATTGACGCTAAGGTCGAACGAGGGTTTCCAAGGGCCGGTAAACCTTCGTGGGAGCTACCTCCACGGGTGGAAGCAAGCGAACTATCTGGCCAAGGTCTTCTGGGGGCGCTGGCTGCGGGAGTACCTACCGGCTTTGCAGACTCGACAGAAGTGGCTGGCCAAAACAAGACCATTCAAAGTTGGGGACGTGGTTATGATCGCCGACGAACGAGCACATTTCAGCGCTTGGTCTTTGGGAGAAGTTACGGAAACCATCAAAAGCACTGACGGAATGATAAGAACGGTGAAGGTGAAGACAGCTAACGGAGTGCTCATTCGTGACATACGCAGTATTAACCTACTCGAGAGCGAAGACGGAGGAGCTGATAACCCTGAGGCCTAGTAAACCTTTTTCACACCAGTAATCGAGGTGGATAAAGAAACACCATATATACCACACGGTCTCCGTCAAACACATTAAGGTGCTCGCGGTGTTTTCGTTGACATTACAGAAGGTGCTTTCCGATACGTGGTGATGAATGCGATTCCATTGTACATCCCGATACATACACGCATGCACGACGCACTCTACATCCCGTAAACCCATCAAACATGTGACAGTGTTCGTTGTTTTGCTTTTCGTTGACGCTACCGAATGCCCCTTACATATGTGGAAGTAGCGGAGCTCAGGTCACATATACATGCTACATTTTACTCGTTTTCTTGCCACGCGGTCTTTTGTTGACATTGCAGAAAGTCCTCTTTTGATGTGTAGTCATACCTGTGATTTCATTGTAACCCCGGCACACACAAACACGCACTCACACACACACTCAAGCACGTACATCCAGGACAGGACGGCCCCTTACGAGGACAACGTCTATGTGACCATTCACGCCCGCCATCGGTCATTTGGTCTCGTGGGAAATGTAGATTAGCCTCACGTCTATGTATCCAATGGATTAGGTGCGACCAGTAGTAGAACGTTGACGACGAGCATTAGACGCGCGCACTGACAGCAGGGCCTAGGCAGGTAGGAAGAATCAGTACCTTTATACCGAACCTTTGACTCTGCTAAGGATCCAGGAGGATTTTGGTGGGCGGTGTAACAGCCAGTCGTGGAAAATCCCCCTATTTCCCTCGCGATTCAGTGTTTTTCCCAACATCACTCATTTCCATACACTATTGACTTGTCTTTACGAACTGGTTGTTTTTCTGGACCAATTGTTGTTTGTTCGCGCCCAGAGCGCTACTTTGGCACATCCTTGTTCAGAACCTGCGTGACGCACGTGCTGTCTGCTCACACGCTGCTATTCGGTTTCTCGTTGTTGAGTCCTTGTGATCGTATTATTGAGGTTTGTATATTGTTTATGTTATTGTTTATTGTAATAATCTAGTATCGTAGAATATCACGGATAATCGTCTTTTTATTTCGGGATCCGTTGCGAATTTGGCTACGCATTGCTCAAACGTTCGTAACACCCGATGCGAGCTATACCTCGTAGTCCCTATCAAACATGTGGCAATGTTCGCCGTTTGTTTTGCTGACGTTACTTAATGTCTTTTGCATATGTGACAGCAGCGACGGTTACTTAATACACACACTCTCATGCAAGCACATACAGCCAGTGCATGACGGCTCTTTCAAAGACAGCATCTATGTTTCTCCTCCACGCCCGCCATCGGTCAATTGTTCTCGTGGAAGATGTAGAATAGCCTCGCGTCGGTGTGGCCAAGGGTAAAACGGTGCCGAGAAGCATTAGGCACGCGCACTGGCAGCAGGGTCTAGGTTGGTAGGAAGAATCAGCACACCTACACCAAACCTTTGACTCTGCTGGGGACTCAGGAGGATTTTGGTGGGCGGTGTGATGACTGGTGGCGGAAAATCCCCCTAAAACCGTTGCAATTCCACGTTTTTCTTAACATCACTCACTCGCTTACACTATTGACGTGTTTTTATGCACTGTCTGTTTTTATATACCAATTGTTGTTTGTTCGGGCCCAGAGCGCTACTTTGTCATATCCATGTCCTGGACCTGCGTGACGCGAGTGCTCCTCGCTCGCACGCCGCAACTCGGTTTCTCGCTTGTTGAGTCCTTGTGATCTCACAATTGAGGTTTGTACCTGTTTGGTGTCATTGTTCATTCAGAAATCTAGTATCGTAGAACCTCACGGCTAATCGCCTTTTGACTTCGGGATCCGTTGTGAATTTGGCTACGCATTGCTCAAACGTGTGTTACACGGTACACCATTTACTTTTATGTAAATATCTGTCTGATGGGCGGAATGGCTAATTATTGAGAAAACAAGATGACTTTTATCATGCACGTCTTGTTCGTAGTGCCACATAACATAAGTCAGTGGCGTTTTTGAACTTTTTTCACGGTCATTCGTCTACTTAATCGGCATATTTCCCTACATATAAAGAATACTTCCTTTCGAAGCACTGGAATAAATCTCATAGAAACACTTACTAAACCCACCCTACGCAGGGAAAGTAATCTTGAACTTATCGTACTGGTTGACATTTTGGCCATCAATACAACTATTGTCTATTCGCAGAATACCCCCACATCGGTGCTATCTCCACAACTTCGCTATGAACACGCACTTAGTTCCATGGGTCCCGGCTGCCCGCAATTGCAACAAAACGAGAAGGCCTCCATTGGCGTGATACCCGTGCAATTTATGACCTCGGGATGGGAAGTAGCCTGCAGGTACTTGATAATCCTTTCACACCGCAGCCTTCCAGCTTAATTTGGTTGATTCATTTAACTGAAACCAAGTAAACACTATTCCGCTGAATCAGTTCCTGGTTGCTCATCAGGCCACAGATTCATAACTAGAGTACGATATTATGAAAAGTAGGTTTCAAAGTGTACAGCGAACTCTGGTGATGAACCTTCATTCTTCGTCATCTTATTGTGGGGCTTTATGCAGTCCCTGAAAAACAGAATTTAGCGATGAAAGAAGATTGTAAAAAATATGTAAAATCCATAATTTTTTCAGTTTTATACCGGCTTGCCTACCGGTGTTCGTGTGTCAGTTTGTCAATACCGATATATCACCTGCCACTACTCACTCACATGATTAACAGTAAGATGAACTAAACTACTTACGAACTACACGCTTGCCAAATAACCTAATTTAGCTCACAACCGGTAAACGGCTACAGAATAGTATTTCGAACCGCCCGTTCAAGAAATCTTTCTTGCAATGGAATGCAGCGAATCAAAGTAGCTCCTGCTTCCATGAGCAGCGAAGACAACCCCCCCCCCCCGTGGTGACAATCCTCGGTGTTCGTCGGTCTGCCACCAAAGAACAGGCACAGCATATATGATGCATGTGCGGTCTCCACCGGCAACGGCTTTGCAACGCATCCTCACTGGTCACTTTTCTTCACACCACAACCTGAAGTGTGATCGCCCGTCACTACGCAGCAACAACAGCCAATCGGGCTGAGGGCATGGATTACAGAAGCTATCTGGACATAGCACAGATTTAGCACAGACTAATGCATAGACCGCGTCAGCGGAGAATACTACCAGGTCGAGTCAAGTCAAGCACTTGCTTTGTACGCCCAAAGGAGGATATTCAGCAGCCACATATTCACTTCCGATTACAAAATTATACAAAGAGTGGAATATGATGTTGACTGAGCATTCAACTTAGTTCTGAAATGATGACACCGGAATTAGTAAGGAAGCGGGCGGTGAGCAGTACTGTGAAGGACTTGCGGACCTAGGTAAGGGTATACGGGCTTATAATTGATTCGTGTAGGCGATACAGAAATAAATTTAACGAGATCGAGGGAACAGGGGTGCGATTCGTCAGCCAATATCCCACCGGTGAAAGATGCACATGAATGAGTGTGTCGGAACAATGTGAAAGGGGTAACTAGTTCCGAGCCGTACCACTACATCTAGACAAGTGCTTCGGGAAAAGGACATTTAGTTTGAAGTCTCTAAAACGCAATCCCGGAAATATTTCAGAAGAAGCATAGAGCTAGTAGGGTAGAAAGCAAGAGAAGACACATTTTCAAATGAAGCAGACTGATAAACCAAAGGATTTAATTCTTAAAACATGGGGACAAAACTCTTTTGTTAGCAGGACAATAGTAACCGAAGCAATCTTCTCGGGGTTATGGCGGAAGAAAATACTGTGCAGGTGTTCAAGAGGAGGCTGGACGGAGAGCGAACACATGCCTTTTTGGACGGCCCTCGAGTCAGCAGCGTGCTGGGTGCATGAAACTGGACCATCTTTGATGCTGGCCGCCACCCCTGGGATCTGACCTGGCCTGATCTGATCTCGATAGCCAGTAGGTTGACGGCACTCGCCATTCCATGGGGATACTTCGCTGTCAACATACTGGTCGAACAAAGGGTAGGATGCTTACAACATTTAGGAAAGTTTAGGATCAGACCTGAGACCCATGCACTACTTTGGGACTTCAAGACTTGATTGGAGCGCGACATCAAGTCTGCGAGTGGCGCAGTTACTGCCAAGTATATACACCCTGAGACCGATTTAGCCACCAAGCGAGGGACACTTCATGGACCTGAATGTCCGAGAACGTGGTTGGTGTTCTACAGAAACTCACACAAGTGAACAAAGGGTTTGTTTCTAATCTCGTCGCTGCGGCGGGTTGTTTGGAAGCGCTAAAGGTGAAGGTCGCGCGTCTGCAGCCTTGCGTCTGAAATCTGTTGGTCACGCGCTTCTAGGGTGTCCGTGTGCTACTGAAATGCTACACTAAGGGTTCGTCGGAAACGAGTAAGCTATAACGGTCCATATGTTAATTCATCAGGTTTAATGACTCGTTACGTTAGTTCACACACTGGGAGGACGATGAGAACGGAACCGTATGAGGTTGCGTACGGCGATGAGGACGATGAAGACGATGATGATGATGATGATTTTGATGACGAGGATCTCGACGGATACGATGGCCTAAGCGACTATGATGAAGATGACGACACTACACAGAGTCGGTCTGCTGGCAGACATGCAAACGCTGGCGGCGACGATCGCGCGAGTGGTCTGGGAGAAGTTCGCCGCCAGCGTTCTGTCAGCGAGGGAAGTGGGTCATTGCTGGAACCTGGGGATGATAACAGGTGCTGTTTTGAAGAATATAATATACCACTTGGGACAACATTTTGGCCTTGTCATCGAGTCTGAGGACGATGTGCTAATTTATCTCTTGACATATCCATTTATAATAAAAACACTGAAAAACAGACGGTTGTTTTCAGTGGTTTTTAATGTTGACCTTACAGAGCAGCAGGTACCCTAGTGTGGCCTATAGGATCCATGAGGTCAATATTAGGAGCCATGGAAAATAACTGTTTGCTCTGCAGTTTTTGTCCTGTGAGCGTGAGACTTTACCTAAGTTGCTTGTTAAAACTTTGACATAGCCTCATGCTTGGGGCCCCGGTAGTGCTGCTTCACGTTTTTAAATAGGAAGCTTGGAGCTGTACCCGGTTTTCCCCATTGGGCCACCTTAGAACGTTCTGCATGGGTGTGTATATACATATCTATTTATATGTACCATAGAAGCTGAAAGTGACACGCGCCGAAAAACGCATTTTTAATCCATCCGAACACCATGGCGTAATACAGGTTTAGCGCACTGGATTCGGACCGGTTTCGGTAGGTGGTCGGTGATTTGCCAGTAACGTTCTTAAGTGCTACCAGTGTCTTACCGGTACCAAAATGGTAAACGTTGGACAAGCGAAAATCGACGCACTTCTTTGTACTGTTTCCCCTACACACCAAATCCCACTAGGTAAAATTGACAGCTGCTTCATCCTCTTTCACCAGGGGTTATGCTGACCAATTATTAGGCCGGATTACATGTATGCTCAGGTTTTCGCTTACAGTTCTACCGCATTACCTATAGTTATATCTATGCGGTTAACGTCTCTTCGGTATCGCGTTCAAAGGTCGTCGTTTGAAGACGATCTGTGTATTTGTTTTTGCCAACTGACCATTTTCGCTGCCCATCGAGAACCGGTAAATTAGCGTAACTTTACGGTGGTAGTGTGCCACTGTAGATTTCTTAACCTTGAGGCTATGCATACTGAGTACCGTAAAGCGGATGGCCACTTCTTTTGCCCGGCCCCGTTGAGTTTTTCCCTTGTTCGCCATCGCAGGCACTCATCGGAGTCTTTTTTAGGATTATCGCGTCATGGTAGAGTTCACCAGACATTTTATTGAAAAGTTACACTGGTTACCGCATTATAATGAGATACGATTGTGCAGTTGCAACACACGACAGTTCGGGGAATAGAGAAAAAACGATTCCGGGTAACTTAGGTTTTATCTGAAAATCTTCCATACGCTAAAATATGAAGAGAACAGAAGTAAGAAAATTTGCCAAACACAAACAAGTTGGAGCATAGATAACAGTTACCACAACCGAGTCCGAGTTTTCGGTGGTTTTACGAGATTCCCCACGATAAATGATGTATTCCTACTCTGCATCCATTTTGTTCCCTGTAGACTACTCGGTTGCCATTTTCCTAGGTGAATATAGTGAGCCATCTAGACTTAAGTTCCAGGTGCTATACACATCTTTTTGTTCACTCTAAACTGTATGGTAACAGTGCTCGATATGTGAGGCTTAAAATGCTTTATGACAGTTGCCCCAACATTGTATTTTGCGACGGCGAAGAGTAAATTGATTAAGGAAGTTTTTAATTTGATGATCTGCATTTAGACCGTCCGGAGGTTTCTTTTCTCATCCAACGGGTGGAGCACGGTCGTGTAGTGCTCAGCGGTGTTTATACAATTCGTTAGTCATGTAATCGTTATGGTAGCTACCCCGTGGTTCGTGACCAAATAAACGGCCGTAAACGACCAGTGACGTTTTCCCAAGAGATTGACAGATTGAAATTTAATTGTGGTGGTTAGGTTAGTTTTTCAAGCAACTGCGCGTGAATATTTTCAATTTTACCAAGTAGCACGCCCCAAGTTTGCCCCCTGGGGCACGCATGGGGAAAATTTGGGGCAAACCTGGGGCTGCCCCAAGCTTACTATTTAAAAACCTGGGGCAGCGCTACCGTTGCCCCAAGACTGCCCCACGGGGTTAGCCCCAAGGTTACCCCATGGGGCAAACTCGGGACAAACCTGGAGCTAGCCCCAACCTTGCGGCAATGTGCTACTTGGGTTGTCACGCTTACCCATGAATGCAGTAAAAGGAGCAATAAACTCCGAGACCCATTGCACTCGAGAAGAACCGGCAACCACCACCCAACCTGTATAAAATCCCAAAATTTCAGAAGTGGTAAAGATCCAGATAACAGTGGGTTTCTGTCCTTCACCAGTATGATACTGGTGCTGGGGTTTTGAGTTTATTATGGATCTAATGTGGTATTATAACACGGCCAACCGCAGTAAGCTTCAGTTTCATGGTATCCCACTGGCTGTGCAAGTAGGATGTGCCAGGCTTCCGGGTTATGGTTTGCGAGACTCACCAACTAAATGGTTTGAGACATTGAGTGACGTGCCTAGGTGCCGCGGTCAGTGTTGCCTTCATGGTTTCCATTTATAATCTTTTTTGTTCATTTGCTACGTGTGTTGCTGTTCGTTTTTCTCGTTCATAAAGTGCTGCGAGGTAGAAAACCAAACCAAAACAACAGTGCGAGGTTAACGATGGAAAGGACTGAACCGAAGAGAATTACATTGGGATGGAATCTACTTGTAAACTGCCGAGGGGAAGCTTCGTTATGGTTATTTCGGCCGATGGTAGTCCAATGGTTTAGAGTGCTTGATTACCACCTCGGAAGTCAAAAGTTTGAATCCCGACAACGCCGGCCCCTTTGATGATAGGCAGTAATCCGCTGTCGTCCGGCTCGTTACCACACTTGAATTAGTGAGATTTTATGCACTTCTCCATCCCAAGTCTCATGGTCTGATTGCCGGCTATCCCTAATAGTTCAGTGGGTCTTCGAGGCTATGGAGTATATCCTTTCCGTTGCACTCATGTGTAAGCATGTAACAAAAATAAATATACAGTATCGGTGGCAGTCTAAATGTACGCCGGGCCCGAAGCGCTGTCCAAGCAGAAGAATATAAGAGTAACGGGTCACTGGCGGAGTGTGGGCATACGTGCCACCACCACCTGTGATACAGATTCGTATTTCATCGCGAGTTGAAATCTTATGGCCAAGATTTATCACCCTTATAACTTGGTACTCCTTGGTACTCAGTATTCACGTGTGATGTAACTCAATCCACTTCTTGTCAGGTTTTGGTGATTTTCAGATCGAGAGGAGATAGGGTTTCTGGTGCTGACCTAATACCATGAACTATCGGTGACTACTTGTTCATTCTTCCAAATCGGTTGATTAATTCCTATTACAACATTACTGATTTTCACCGCCTTGCCGCAGATATAATAATTTGATGTTTGCCATGGTATGAGGTTGTCGTGAGCGTGTTCTGTAGTTCAATTCGATTCAGTTTATTAACTATTAACCTCACACTGCTGTGCTCTGGTTTTGGTTGCTTCCTCACAAAACCGTCGAGTTGTGGGCAAAATGAAGGGAAGCATGAAGTGGAAAAGTACCGAAAACAAAGTAATAAGCGAAAATCACGAACACGAAGGAAGAGCTCGAATGCAACTAAGCCGTTGGTCGCGACACCTCGCCATGTCACCTAATATCTCCAACCATCTGGTAGGCGCATCTCGTGGACCACAATTGGGAAGTCTAGCACGTCCTACTTGACCAAATCCATTGGTCGAGGTTTTCATACCTTTTCCGATATCATGGACTGACCACCTCGACCTACCCATCGACCACTACGTGTCTGGGAGATCAGCGTACGCCGACGAAGAGTATTGATGAGAGTGCGTAACAGATGTCCCAGCCACCTTAACCTATTTCGATTCGGTACTTGTTCCAGTGACTGGTCACTGGTTCCCAACACCATACGTCTACCTCAGCATTGTTGATACGGTTTTTCCCACCATACTCGAAAAATGCTGTGACGACGCCGGCGCCCAGATACCCTAATTGCCACGTTTCCGAGCCATATAAAAAACGGATCCAACCGCTGGAGTTTTCTCTCAATCCCTGATAAACAACTGGATTTCACGCCGGTACCACAGATGGCAAAGGTTGGCAAAAGCCAAGCGCGCCTTCTGTGTACGCGATGACGCTTCGTCCAATATCTGGCTAACTGGTGAGATGTAACTGCTTAGGTATCAAAACTTACCTACTTCAGCTAGGACTTCCTTTCATCCCACCGAGGCTGCACCTTGGCATGGTGTGATGGCTTGCGTGCCTCAGCGACCCAAGCGGCTATGTAGTGACTTAAGCCGAAGATCAATCAAGTCTGATAAGTTAATGGGCGGAGACCAGACGAAGTCCACTCTCTCTCTGAATCAGGTTTTGCGTAACACTGAGTTCTAGCCACTGTGCATTTGGAGAGAACACTCCAGCAAATAAACACGGAGAGGAGCAGTTTACCGGTCTACCCCCCCCCCACTAAACAGACTTAACAGTATTGGGGGTTTCTCTCGTCGTTGATATATGTCATCGCACCTCACTGCGCAACTCTCCCCCCCCCCCCCCCCCCTCTTAAAGCTGAGTAGCCCGTGGCCCAAAGGATTGTCTTGTCCATGTTTCGCTTGTTCCTTTGGATGCATGGGGCTAAGAACTGAATCCAAAAAGAGGGTCGATAACGAAGCATCAGCGAAGGCAAGACAAGATGCTTGCAACAATCAGGTCTCCCGTGACAGACCAGAAGAAGTCCCTTCACGGGTGCTTCGATAACGTTCTCGTGTTGGGTTAAGGCCCCACTGCTTTGCGGGTCAGACTTTCGAGCCAATGGTTTCCCGTATAAAAACTGTCACTGCGTCGTGAGTAGCTGCGAGGTATGATTCAACCAGAAGCCAGCATGCTTCTTGTAAAGAGCACTACAAATTTCTCCTCTCTCTTAGTTTAAAGTCGATGCAGAATCCCACAAATCATTGTGGCTCTAAAGAAAGTAGTAATTCAGGTGTAGAACATCGACCGAACTCGTCTTAAGCGTACATATCCACTTTGCTTGGCTGCTTTCAATGTCTGCACACTATCATACAGACCAGAAGACTGCTCTCACTAGAACTCTCGAAACATGCAAATATATGTATGCTGTGTCTTCGAAACGTTCATACAAAACCATATCTCCGTGGTCACTTCGCACCCCAGATACAAACTTGGTCTTTTACCTCACTCTTTACGTGTCGAGTGCTCATGGTCAGGTTGGCGTCGAGTTCGCTTTGAGCACGAAAGATGAGCGTGTACTGCAGGACTGGATTCCAGTCATCAGTCGTTTGTTTGCAGTTCGGTTGAACGGTTCTGTGCGTGCTAACAACGATAGACAATGCTTGGTGATCGTGACTGTGTACGAAGCCACGGATAAATTTTATCGAGGTTCGCCTCATCTGCTTCTGAACGTGTTTTCAACGTACGTCTTGTTGACTGCTGTAGAATTCAACGCCTAAGCTGGATGTTTGGAGGATTCTGAAAGACATGGTAGGCTTGTTTGATTTCACGGCCCATCGTACTGACGACGGCGATCATCGTATCCAGCTGTTCTCTTACCCCAGAATGTTTCGCGCGAGTTCGAACTACCATAGAAAGCGGCACAAATCTAAATGGCCTCCCCCCGTACCTTCACAGCGTTATATTCGGACTGATCATACTGTCATTGGTCTCCACTGGCGTGAAAAAACCGCAGATTGTTATTCACTTTGGTCCACGTCTGTGAACTCCAAGAACGCCTTGGCGTGTGCTCGCTTATATTTACGCCTCGTTTGTCGTCACGCCAATGCTAAAGCCACCCGCCCCGCACAGTTGCTTCTGGACGATAACCAACGATCTGCTTCCCAAGCAGAGCTGTCTACATGGTTATCCATGCAACCGGATGCTCAGAACCCCTGTAAACATTGCCGAAAGTCCAAGGAAGCCTTATGTACCGCTTCCAATGCCATACAAGACTCCAGTTCAGTCAGGTCTTACAAAAAATGGGTATCATCGACATTTTTTATTGCATGCTTACGCATGCGTACAGTGGACAAGGTATATATCCCATGGCCACAAAGGCCCAGTGAATTGTTACGGATAATCGGCAACGAGATCCTGAGACTTGGAGTGGAGAAGCACATAAGGTCCCAGTAGTTCAAGTGTGGTAGCGAGCCGGAAGACAGTGGGATACTGTCTACCACCAAAGTAACCGATGATGGCAGAGATTGGAACCTCCGATCTGTGAGGTGGTAATCAAAAGCTCTAAACCACTCGACCACCACCGGTCATAAGTTGGTCTGTTGAAGGATCACAAATCCCTCCCACTGGATGTCACATTCAGTGAGGAAAACCAAACGCTCAGTCGTCAGTTGACTAAAAGTTTGAGTAATGAGCATAAGTAGTGGTGTGTTGCGGAATGTAGGGAGTTGGTGGAAGGCTGCGTGTACTGGCAAATGCGCAACTTTTACCGTTTGGTTAGAAGTATCGGTTCACAGAAGCCCGGTATAAATGAGTTAGTCAAGAAATCCGACAGCTTACTGATTCAATCTCAGAAACGCCTGGACCGATGGGCGGATCCTTTAAGGAACAACTCAGTTGGCCCACTCCAACAGTGGACCTTCACAGTATACCTGCCAGAGAAACGACGCAGGTAGATATCACTCCTCCATTAGAAATAGGTTATGTGGGAGGTAGATTACTTGGAATAGTGCAAAGCCGCTGGACCGGATGGGTTGTTTCCGTCTTTTCCCCGTGAATGTAAACGGATTTTGTAAAAACTCCGGGTAATCTGGGATGATGAGCGGATTCGCACGGAATTGTCTAACTCGGTGATTGTGCCGATTTGTAAGAAAAATAACATATCCCGCTGAGAAAACCACAGGAACTAGTTCGGTAAGTATCGCATCCAAACTGCTCACCGAGATTATTCACAAATTATCCAGCTCTCGCGAAATGTGTACGCGTTGGAATCGAGCCGGATTCAAACCTGGTCGGATTTGTATAGACAAAATCTTTACTTTTCGATAAATTTGAGAGCACAGACATATCTTCCGTAAACCCACAATCTGTCTTCCCTGACCTGAAAGCGGTATTCAACTCAGTCGACCCCATAGTTCTATCGAGCTGCCTTTCAATGGCAGGTGTGCCAGGGAAATTTGTTTTTACTACTTTAGCTTTCACTGTTCGTGATTTGGTCTCCACAGCACCACCTCCAACTGTAATCAAACTTCCGAGGTACTTAGTTATCCACTAACTAGCTGGTCTCTACCAAGGGTGAGTTCGGGCACATGCTGCTGCCAGTCTGGAAAGAGTACTTTGCACTTGGAAGGCACAAAGTGCACACCATATCCGGATATCTCAGTTCAGGATGTGTTGCATTGTTCGTGCGTTATCACTCAGCAAGACTATATCGTCAGCGTATTCTAAGTCAGAAACTCTGTCCCCTGGGAGGAGTTCATTTCCATCTTCTCGAATACCGGATTAGGCACTCTGCATTACATCCTCTATGGGTAAGTTGAAGAGAAATGGGGATAAATGTCTGTCACCAGTTAGGAGCTGGGCGCATTCGTTCCTTCTACTTTTTCGTACCTCTGTCTGGATGTCATTCACTGCAGAGTTGAACAGGAAAGATGAGACCAGAAACTCCGGATGCACGTCACTTGCATTTTTTACACAAAAGTCCAGTGCCGCGGGTCCGAATTGAGCTGGCGAACTTCAGCTTACCGGTCGGATGCAAGTGGATTTTCCATCATGACTAAGGCTCCTCCTGCAAATACTAAATTCCGAGTGGTAACTGATGATGAGCCATATACCGACCGTTAGTCTGTGATGTACCGGAGCTAAACTATCTGATTTTTGTTAAAAATTTGATCACACCCGCTGCTGCAACGATGACTTGCTTGTTCCTCAAGGACCATTTTTCTCACTCTGGAGACCATCTGCGCTGGATTATTGAGACAACCATTTCCGACGCGACTGGGATAAGACTCATCTCTCCAAAATTGTAGCAAACGTTGGGAGCTTTCTTTGCGTGTATTAGAATGACGGATAATACAGTTCCAGCTTCATGAAACGCGTTCATGAACCCAGATCTCGTAGAAGAGGCTGTTGAACTCTCGGATCAGTGACACTACTTATCGACCACCAGAGGAAGGCAAAAACCGACGCCGTTTTGTAGGCTTCAATGGGATAGCCAACTGGATGCAGCTAAAATGGGAAAAATAAACGGGTTTATGTTTGTGAAGGTAAAAGTCGTTTCGGTACATTGAATGACGAAATTAGAAACGATCTATAGTCTATGACACCACGATGTTTGAAGAGCGCTGGAGCGAGAATATCAGGGGCATTGACGTGACGCTTAATGTTTTTCCATTCGATGCTTGCCAAAGAGCACAGTGGACAAGGTATATACCCCATGGCCACAAAGGCCCAGTGGATTGTTACGGATAATCGGCAACGAGATCCTGAGACTTGGAGTGGAGAAGCACATAAGGTCCCAGTAGTTCAAGTGTGGTAGCGAGCCGGAAGACAGTGGGATACTGTCTACCACCAAAGTAACCGATGATGGCAGAGATTGGAACCTCCGATCTGTGAGGTGGTAATCAAAAGCTCTAAACCACTCGACCACCACCGGTCGAGTGATCTCAGTGTGCGGGATAGTATAGAATATCCATGGAACAGTAGCTGGTTCAAAGGGCCTATTTTTTAAGGACATCAGCACTCTGTGCCAATTAAATTGCTGCTCGAGGCACTGCCTATCTCTCAGCACGACGTGAAGGCTGGTAGATTGGCTGGCTATCTTATTTGCAGACCGCCTCGCTTACACTAGGCTTCTTGCTACCCGAGGATCGAATGGACTGAAAACACTTCCGTACGTTGCCGGTGGCAGTAGCTTGTTCCGTCTTACCTGCGCGTTTGTACCACCAGACTTGAAGGTCTTCACATTACCCAATCGCCAATTTTATCCGCAGTTGAGTATGGGATGGGGTTTCCGTTGCCATCAGATATTTGGGCGAATATACAGTAATTCGAGGGATTACAATGAACGATGACTATTACTAAAATTTTAGGTCCTCATGGTAACTCGAAAGTAAAGAGAACTGTAGGGATGTGCTGTGAATGAATTTGGAGTCATCTACCTTGGGCTATGCTGTTATAATAGCATTGACGCACCAAAGCGCTCTTGGTACCAATGCGGGTATTAGTTGAAAGATGAGTAAGGATGACGGAAGAAACGCATGAAAGGCCTAACCAGTGGACTTGGCCATATACGGCACGTTAGAATTTCTGGGTGGTGTTTAGGAGATCCCCCACTCTGGTTAGATACGTTTGAAGATATGGCTAGATGTTGCGACCGGTAGCGCTCTGGTATTCACAAACTTTCTTTGTCGACTAGATACGGTTCGTAGTTGTCTTCCGACTACTTTCATACTTTTTCATTATTTCTGGTTGAGATTACCGCTGGAATAGCGGCTAAAACCACTGCACCCAGCGCATGATTAATGGTTGTTTGAACTAAACTAACGACTAGCTTAAACATCGGTAATTCCCCAAAATTCAGCAAAACATCTTCGCTTCTAGTCCTGCCTCATTACCAGTTTTCAGAACTATCAGATTTCGGAAAAGTGCATGACTCTAGATTTAATAATCTTTTCAAATTCAGCTCCGCTTTTCTTTCGTTGCCTCCAGACGCGATCATCACAACCAGCTAGAGCGCAAGCGCCGTGCTAGTATCAAGACAAGCTATAACGACTTGCGTGAGGCCATACCGAGTCTGCGTGGTTCCAAGGCTTCGCGTGCCGTGATATTGCAACGGGCTGTCGAGTACATTGAAGAATTACACCGGTCAAACCGGGATCACACGCACTGCGTCGAAACTTTGCGCCGACAAAACGATTCACTCGACTCGCGAGTAAGTCCTACAACAACGTCCGTCTTTCTTTCTTTCTTTCTTTCTCTCTCTCTCTCTCTCTCTCTCTCTCTCTCTCTCTCTCTCGAAATAGAACAGGTGACCAGGTTGATTATGATTTGGCTTCGTAGCTTTACTGCAAGGGTGCACGTTGTACCTAACTGGGAGTGGCACTCATGCTTAGATTTGAGTACCATCGAGTCCCGTGACTTTCAACGCTTGTATCAAGTCGGAATTGAGATTTTCCAAAGACAATACTTGGCTAAATAAATCGAACATATTTGTTCGAAGCATCTCTTCACGCACTGAAAATCAAACCATATTCAGCGAGGAAATCCCGTTTGTTTCCTTTTGTTCAGTTACGAAACTTTCTTTGCGCATGATATAAGTTTCAAGGGGCATCACTTTTTCTTTTAATGTCATCAGATCTACTGATTTGCCTAATACAAACAACATTGTACAAAGGTATGATTTGCGGAGTTTGTACCGGGTTAATTTCTTAGAGGCATTCACGTTACCGACTGACAGTTTTAACTGAAATGTACGCACGTTTATAATCCGCAGCTGTGGACATTATTGTTAACCCGATTCCATCGCTGTGAGGATAGCGTCTTGCACCCATGGTAAATTATAGTACCGAAAGTATATCGAAGATTCCTGTAAGTGCCCTACTTTGTGATCGCATACCATGGAAGGTTTTTTTCGAGAAATACCCAGTTCCCTCAACTCAGAGATCGGAATGGCAATGGAACAGGAATTTCTGGGTTTTTACTCGAGAATAATAAGAGTCTGACACAAAACAATGGGTCACAATAGATTGTCCTTGGTTGTGGGAACCAGTTCAAGTCGATTGTATTGGGATACAATTCAGTGATCGGAAATCTAAAGTCGCAGCTTCTCATGTTTGGGTGTTCATCCCTGACAAGAAAAGCCATGCCTTAGTTGACGACAGATCAGACAGCAATGCACGGTAAGAGACCTGAGAAGATCTCTTACCTAAGAAGAGGATAGCCCCCGAATAGATATTTTCTCATATCTTTTGGTTTTTCACCTAGCTAGGCAACAATCTATCGGGACCTTATGTGGTTCATATATCACGCAATCGCTTGCGGGTAGTGTGTGGTTCGCCACTCCAGGTCTCAGGGTCTGGTTTCCGGTTATCTTTAATAGTGTAGTGGGCCTTTGAGGTTATGTGGTGTTCCCTGATAAGTATCTGGTTGTTTATTGTCCGGACGCTCCTTTTTACCTTTCAGATTACATACCCTCGCTGCTTTTTGAATTAAGTTTATTCCTAAGTCCTTGACTCTTCTCGTTTGGAACGTTGCGACTGTATTCTAGTTCACAACATACCCCTTCCGTTGCACTCATGCGTAAGTATGTGATAAAAATGGGACTATGAAAAGTTTCAACACTAGGCCACACCATCTTGCCATTGATATTGTTGAGTTACCCAGCTGAGAAGAGGGACAAACCAACAACAGTAACTGAAAACGACCAGGTGTCACGAGAAAGCCGATGAAGATAAAATGAAAGAATGCGGGCAAAGTTTGTGTTGTTCGTGTTTGGCTTACCTCGGGGATGATTCGGAGTCTGTAGAACAACATAGTCATTCGCATCTGACATTTGTTTTATTTGCTGTTGAAATGAACGGCCATCACAAAGTTGTTGCAACCATTTCGACTGATATTCGTATTTTTTGGTCATCTCCATTCACCGAAAGGTTCAAGAAATGCAGCGTTTCCTTCAGCGTCTGGACGGAGAAGAAGCTGCTGCAGCCGCTGCCGCTGCGGCTGCATCCGCAGCTTCCGCTGCATCTGCTCCTGTCCATATTTCGGGGAACAATGGCATCCTCGGTGCCAGTTCATGTGTTTCGGGTGGCGCAACTCTTCGTCTGGTGTCCAGTAATATCAGCACCTCGGGAGTAGCGGTCTCAGGGTCGGGCACCACCCATCTACCCGTCTATCGCTTAATGCCCCAAGAGTCTATCGGATCTGATCGCGTAAGGATATCGCACTGTTTAACGCTGCCACATCTTTTTGATGAACGCTTTTTGCTTTCGTTGTGTTCAAATTATCGACTAGGAGTTGCATTCTGTCCATCTATGCCTGTTTTCAGGCAGCCGAAGAGTTTTTCTAATACACTCATGGATTAGGTCGTATGAAGTTATTAGCATGATTAGTACACAGTAGTTACCGACCAGGTCAAGTGACGCGCCGTAGCTAGGTTGTTTATTTTACGACCGTCTGTCGCTGATGACAATGATGATGATGAGTATGAATGCCTAATAGTCCACTCATTGATTGTTCTGTTGTTCGACAGTTTGAAACACGGCATGTATACGCATACCACTGCCTTAGTGAGCTTTGATGGATTTGTCCGCACTCATGCTGAATACAGGATTTTGTATCCAGAACCATAATCGTTCTCAAGTTTAGTGGCTAAGTCCCCCCTACTGTTTTGTTTTTCCCTCTCTTAAACGTAGAACTTGATCGGAATGGTATGTTGCGTTTGCCACCTCCAGTTTACCTAGATTAGCGTTGTCACCTCCATTCCACGCGCTTTTTTATTACATGCTCGCACATGAATGTGTGTATCTCGCGTTACCCGAGGTGCACTTCATTAATAGGGATGACCGGCAAGCTGACCCCGAAGCTTGAAATGGAGAACCACATGAGACCTCAGTAGGCTAGGCGTGCTAACGACAGGTTATATCATCATCATCGTACAGCGTTAAACAGTAGGGCAAGCCCCACTGACCGCTGCCTTTCTCACCATGTTGCACGTTGAATTAGAAAGTATGAATATACAAGATGAACAGGGATTGGACCTACACCGGTGGGAAAACGAAAGAACGCACTAGTAGCCAACACACGGAATACACAGTCTAATTGTACAAACACACATCGATCAGTTATTCTGATTCGATAGAAAGTGACAACATGATCGCCACTGTTCACGGTTCGCTGCCATATCCTTCAGTGTCTCCAGCCAACTGGTTGAGGGATCTTTTGGACCCCAACCACGAAGACGTGAAGCACCTACTTTTCCTAAGTTTGCTGTACATTTTCTCATTCCTCGCTGCCAAGTCATCTGTTGACCTCCATGTGGTTTCTTCCACTCCCGAAGAAGGAACGGAGAATAGGACACAGTATGGTAGACGTGTGTTTGCCATACGTAACACATGCCCTGACTGACGAAGCCTGCTAAGCTGTATACGCTGTGATAGAGAACTCCCTGAAGTGGTACCCAATACTCGGTTTCTGACCTCAGTATTGCTTACTCGGTCATTCCATCCAATCTTAGCGATACTATGTAAACATCGGTGGTCGAAAACCTGAAGACAACGAATGTCTTCTGCACACAGACCCCAAGTCTCGAAACTATACAACAAAACTGAAGGCACTGTGGCACAGTATACACGACTTTTCAACTTCAGTGAAATAGTGGGTCGGCACACAAGTGCTTCAGTCCAGCGTACGCCCCTCGAGTTTTGGATATGCGCGTGTTCACCTCTACTACCATACTCCCATCCGTCGTCACGTTGCTTCCGAGGTCAACAGCTGTTAGTTCCTCCCCATCGAGCACCAAGCTGGGAATCGTTAACGACAGGTTATAACAGATTATTGACTGCCACCGCTGTGATCGATTTTGGTGGCGCGGGATTCGAGCCTCTTGACACCCATGTACCACTCGACCTTAATTGTTCGGCCAGCATTTCGGTGTGTTTTTGCGATATCTTTTGTTCGAACGTTTCACATTTTTATGAATCTCTTCTGTCGTCTGCAAATCACCTGATTCTCGTCTTGAATCTTGTGCACAAAATTTTCACGTGGAATTCACATAAGAGTAGCTTTTCAAACTTTTTTCTTGTTTAAGTGTCCCCGACTTGTTCGTACTCACCTCTTTTTCTTTGAACTCGAGTAGTTTGAAAAATAATCTTGTTTTGGCCTGTTGAAGAAATAAAGTTCATCTGGGAATCAACTATCAGCCAACTTAAACTTCACAGTTTCTGTTATCTGTCAGTCTCCTCAAGAACGACGACCTCCGCAGTTATTGGTTTTAGTCCGAGATAATAAACCAGAACTGCTGCACACATTTTCTTACGTTCAACTAGATAGAATAACAGTTCATCTCAGTTGGGACTCCTTTTTTATTACATGTTTGCACGAGTGCAATGGAAGGAGTATACATCCCATAGCCACGAAGGCCCACTACATTATTAGGGATAACTGGCAACGAGTTCCTGTGACTTGGATTGGAGAAGCACATAAGGTCCCAGTAGTTCAAGTGTGGTAGCGATCCGGACGTAACTGAAATGTTATGTATCCGTGAAGTATCAATCCAGCCTGAGTGAACGTATCTCATTGCTCGTACACCTTGTGGCTTATTTCTGTAATGTGTGAACGGTGAACTGAATATGATACTGCCTACGATAGCGGGTCTTGAACGGCACCGTACAATGTTCAGGTTTAATCTAACTGCACTGCTAGAATCACCAGCCAGGCTGCATCAACGACTCCGTAATACACGTTGGTTCTCTTGGTTTCTAGCTTGACTCCACACTCACGCACTACTTCAGTGGTTGGACCGCCACGAATTACCGCGGATCCTGTCTATCAAGTGACTACCTGAGAATAATGTAAACTGCATTTCCAGTAAAAAGCAGATTGCTGTCACCCGGCTTGTTACCACCTGTCACCTGTTTTAACGAGAATGCATGTTGGTGTGGTGTGATGATTTATTTTCCTCCATGACCTAAGCAATTATACAGTACAGTATCTTTCAGCCGGCAGTGTCAGTGAGTTTAAACCATACTGTGGAGGTGTTGACTGGTACTTTGTCAATAGACGGCATGGTTCAGTGGCAGACAGCGCGCCATTGATCGTCCAAAATCAAGGGTGATGTCGGAGTCAGCGATGGCGGACAGCACGTCCACAGCTGTCCAGAATCACAGACAATGGCAGAGCCAGTCAAGCGAATCAAATAACCAATCAGCGCTCAATAGTTATCTTAACTGACAGAAGCCATGTCAACCAATCCGGATGCAACCGGACAAACAAGCCAGCAGTGCCGTTTAGGAAGATCAGGGGACCAATAAGCTCTCATGCAAGAATTTGATCAAGATCACCATACCTGCTATACAAATAAACTTATGCCAATAAACCGAGATGGTTCAAAGCCAGTAGAGTCTTCGCGCTAGTGGTAGTGGGTGGCTAATGAACAGGTGGTTAGTCCGTGGTGCAGTTGGAAGGTTGATTGAGAGGCCGGTCAAAATGCTCCACCCAACGTTCAGTTATTTTTCTGCAGGAGTAAACTGCTTTGTTTCATCGTACTGGACGGACTCAAAGTTTCATCTTCCACTCAAGGCGTTCTAATGAATCGAAATAGCTTGCCGAATTTACGGTCACCTAGGCGGTCTCCATTTTAGCCACTTCTATCCAGTACTTCTTACGATCGACTTTAGCCGAGCACAACACCTTGTTAAAGTCTGCGGTGTTCAATGCTTCCTGCTAGTTGGGCTTTCTGTGTCTTGACTAGTAATTGGCAAGTGGTTGCTGAGATCCAGTATTTTCGACGTTTTCCAGTTTTACTCTAGTTCCTTTCAAATAATCTATTTGACCACCAACTTCATCATCTTTCACTGTTCTTCCATGTTGGACTTAGCCATTTGCACGATGGTTATCGTAGCCAGTTGGGTCGCAATAGCACTCGGCAGCGCGTGGTGCTTTTCTGGAATTGCCACAGCTGCGCCATTCATTCGGCTTTAAAGCGCGCAGACGGATTTTGTAGCGCACACGTACAGGGACATGGTCCGTACCGTTTGTGTTTCGCCCTATTGCGCTGCGGTACGTTTCACAGTCCTCCACGAATGAAGCCTAAATTATTCGCACTAGGATACAGTCTATTTTGTGCATTGTGCAATCGTCGTTTGTATACCAGATTGGCAAAGGCTTTTTAGATGCTGTAGGTTTCTGGGCGAATCGTAGTCAGTGGCTTCCCACATCGCAGACAGGGTTTTCCTATGAAAACCCTTAACTGAGCCTTTGACTCGAAAGTCTGACCCGCAAAGCAGTGGGGCCTTAACCCAACATGAGAACGTTATCGAAGCACCCGTGAAGGGACTTCTTCTGGTCTGTCACGGGAGACCTGATTGTTGCAAGCATCTTGTCTTGCCTTCGCTGATGCTTCGTTATCGACCCTCTTTTTGGATTCAGTTCTTAGCCCCATGCATCCAAAGGAACAAGCGAAACATGGACAAGACAATCCTTTGGGCCACGGGCTACTCAGCTTTAAGAGGGGGGGGGGGGGAGAGTTGCGCAGTGAGGTGCGATGACATATATCAACGACGAGAGAAACCCCCAATACTGTTAAGTCTGTTTAGTGGGGGGGGGGGGGGGTAGACCGGTAAACTGCTCCTCTCCGTGTTTATTTGCTGGAGTGTTCTCTCCAAATGCACAGTGGCTAGAACTCAGTGTTACGCAAAACCTGATTCAGAGAGAGAGTGGACTTCGTCTGGTCTCCGCCCATTAACTTATCAGACTTGATTGATCTTCGGCTTAAGTCACTACATAGCCGCTTGGGTCGCTGAGGCACGCAAGCCATCACACCATGTTAAGGCGCTGCCACGTTTTCCCTCTAAGCTGCTTCTAGACGACATCCGAATATCTGCCTTCCAGACAGAACTCTCTGCACGATTATCGGTGCAGCCGGATATCCAAGACTCGAATAAACTTTGAAAGCAGATAATGGAAGCCTTTCACACTGCTTTCAGTATCACAAGTCCTCGGTTCATGAGGACAAAATAAACAATGTATATCTTCGACATCAGGTGCTCTGTTAGATGTCCGCAGATCTGTTTCTCCCTATGCCACATTCAGTCATGCTTTAGAAATGACCATGAGCAGTGGTGAATTGCGGAATGTAGGGAAATGGGAAAGTCTGTATCTACCGTCAGTAATCATAACCTTTACCGTTTGATTAGAAGTACCAATCCACGAGAATCAGCTGTAAGTGAGATACCATGGGAGTCTGACAGGATGTCCCCTGGGCGGTTGAGCAGAGCACCTTAGAGAACAGTGCGATTGGCGCTCTTCGATAGGGGACTTTCCGATAACAGCTGCAGGGAAACCGATGCAGGTAGGTATCATTCCTCCGTCAAAAATGGATGTTATCTTCGTAGGTTACCTAAAATAGTACAAAGCCGCTGGACCGGGTGGGTTGTCTTCGTCTTTTTCAAGGATGGAGGTGAAGCTTTGGTTTCGAGTTAACAAAACTTCGGATAATCCGAGATAGTAAGGAGATTCCCAGGAAACGGTGTGAATCCGTGATTGTGCCGATTTACACGAAAGATAACAGGTCCTCCTGTGAAAACCGGAGAGGAATAAGCTTGGTAAGTATCGCATCCAAACTGTTGACCGAGGTTATTCTCCACGGATTGTCCAGCTCTCGCGAAATGTGTATGCGTGAGAATCAAGCCGGATTCAAACTTGGTCGGATTTGTATAGGCAAAATCTGTACTTTTCGATAAAGTTTAGAGCACAGACATACCTTCCGTAGACTGACAGTTTCCACCTTCCCTGATGAGAAAATGACATTCAACTCACTCGACCACACAGTTCTCTGGAGCTGCCTCCCATTGAAAGGTGTCAGGGAAATGCATTTCTCTTTTCCAATGCAAATAAATGCCCAAGGCCAAGTTTGTACTTACGACGTTCTCTCACTCGAGGTCATCGTAATAGGTGGTGTTCGTCCCTCGTTTATGTCAACGGTGAATAACGCCGCGGTCAACAAAGTGCGCTTCACAGTCTCTCTTAGGGGATTATTGTGATGATGATGGACAGACGAATGCAAAGGATATTGATGTTAGCAATGTTGTCTTATTTGCTTCACTGAAATCTCTTCTCAAACCTTTTGTGGTTGATGTATACCAGATTGCAGTGTTTGTCACTGTCACGATAAAACTTGGTCCCGAGTATAGTTCCCAGCGTACCAAACATGACAGACCCTTATGTGAGCTCCCTCTGTATGTGTGCGCGCGCACGTGTGTGCATTGAATTCAACCACGTAGACGATCTGTACAGCATCGTATTCGAGCATGTGGTGTTTCTGAAAGCAGCGGAGAATTATTTTAAAGGAACAGAGTGTACAAACGTGAACCACTGAAACATGGGTAGAAAACGACTTGATGGGGAAGTGCAGAGTACATTGTTTCAAGATGGAAATTACAAAACCACTCTACCATCCTTCATTTATTCAGTGGCACATTCTAAAACAACCAACCTTGAGCGTCCCAGATTCTGTTTGATTCAGTGCTTCCGTTCGCAAAGACGACAAGCTGGTCCATTCTTCAATAATGATGGTCGTTCTTTACGTATCGAAACCAGAAACTGATGTTCGATCTTTTTCATTAATTGTTTTCTGTTCCCATTTCAGTCCGCTAACAATGGGGTGACACACGTGCTTACCTCAACCAGTCCACGTGCAAACGTCTTAGGCAACACATCAATGGGACATGCGCGTACACGCATTAGTCCGGCGCTGCACACTGCATCGTCCTCGTCTACATTCAATGGTCTCAATGTTCTCAATACGGCTGTTAGCTTAGTTGCCAGCGCTCACTCTGCCTTTTCGTCGACTTCATCTTCATCGGTGGGATCCAATGGAGATGGAACTGCACCACAGTCTTCTTCACAACGATCCAGTCCTGGCAGTTATTCATCCGCCTCATCGACACCATCTTCTCTGGGTAATTCGACCTTGATGCGTCCAACACATTCGCAGGCTTTCGAAGATCTGTGTGAGGACGGGTCTGTGGTGAACGCGAGCGACACGATCATTATTCCTGGTCAGAGAAAAACCAAAACCGTATCTGCTCATTGTTCTTCCACTTCATCTTCATCCTCATCTAGTCCGCCGGCCTCGCTGCCACCTCCAGCCCGGTTATTGTCCGCCTCAATCTCTCATCCCTCTTCGCCACCGTCGATCGTGCTGGCTGTGCCTGTGCGACACCTACCAGCGAATTCTACCCCAAAGGATGTCGAATTGGTATCCAAACGCCAACGTCTGAGCTAGTCTCCATCGTCCAGTCCATCACCATGTAACAGCATCTTCGCCTGTTCAAACAGGCGTCTACGCTCAAGACCCACATTGATCAGGACCAATGGCCAGATGTATTGTCTTTTTGTTCATTCTCCTCGATTTCGTTTACCCGGCTGATGCCGATAGGGTTATTTCCATTCCTTCTCATCTGACTGTATTGGGCTCAACATTCTTCGGGATTAACCGCGATGTGTTTACATAGTGGCTTGTGGTCGGTACCCGCAAGCAGATTTTGGAGCCAAATTGATCTGTGGTGGGGTTTTCGTTTGATATCAATCGCTCTTTCTTGAGTTCTCTTTTCTGATGGTTGTCATGCTAATAAAGTCACGCAAAATTTTGTTCGCCATTTGTTTGTATTGAAGTAACTTGTTCCGCACCAACATCCCGCGTATCTCTGCAAACAGTAGAACGCGTTTCCCGGTGGTCAGTAGTCGTGATATCCCATTCTGATATATGCTACTCTGGGTCCCGGAAACACATTCACTACTACCAACCGCGACCACTGTTTGTTGTTACTTTCCTGTTTTCTGGTTGTTGCTCGGTTCTTTCCTACTCTAATATATCTTCAATGTTGTGGATATTTGTTTTCCGTTTTCCTTTTCGTTCTCACTGGTTGTTACACATTTCCATTTCGGTCGATCTCGCTTTCATTTTAATTCCGTGTTTTGTTCATCCCTTCGAGACTGCGGAGTTATCATTGTTCTCACGCAAATATGTATAGCTTTTTTAAACTTCCTAATATAATCTATTGCCGGGAGTCTGGTTCTTCCATTCCCCCTCCTCTTTATGAACCCCTAATTCAAAGCCGCATGCTCAATGTGGACCTACCTTTGTTTTGCCTCTATTCGTTTTTCGGGTTCGTTCCCTGCTATCGATCGTTAACCAGCAGGACATTTTCCTCTTCTCACCTCCTCTCAAGCGTGTTCCCATTTTTGTATCTTTCACGTACCGTTAACGTTTGCTCCTCAGTGCTGTTTTCTTGTTACTAATATCTCTTTCATTGTCAGTTTCATATAGTTTTTTTGCTTGTGTAATCCACATGTCCATTTCACTTTAGTCAAGAAATGGCAGGCTCCCTCGTTTCTGTGGTTTATTCTAGTTATTGTTTTCAACACGGACAGAACCGCCATCTAGGCAGTTTTTCTCTCCTCAAATATTCTCACGGATATATCCGTCTATTCGTCTTCAGGTATCTCCTTTTTGATTCCCTGACGATCGCGATGGTTTTTTCCCGCTCATTGGCACTTTTTCGGCTTTTCACTGTTATTTAACGTTCCTGTTGAATTCTTATTAGCATGACCATTACCTGCTCGAAGGATACGGTTATCGGGAAATATTTGCCTTCCGGTTTTCCCTGACTGTCCACGTCATCATCCTCCATAACCTGCCATCATCACGCTTCCACACGTACACCAGTCTATCTGTTAAGCACATTTTCTCCATAACTTTGCTTTGTTTTGGGGAAAGCCAAACAATAGATCGATTATCATATAATGACATTTTTTCATGGTTGGCAAAACTCTGTTTCTGTCTCAAAACCGGATGGTTGTACTGTTATTCGCTGTCCAATGAGGTTTGACTTAGGGTGATATTCTGTCCACTGTTTTGACAAAAGTGACCTTATGCATTGCCTTATCATGTACAATAGGTTGACCATTTCCGTCTCACTGGAAAAGAGTACAAAAGCGATACTCCCTCGTACGGTGAGGTTGTGCCGTAGACTAGTTTATTCGAAGTACAAGATCTACCCCAAGTCATGTATTTTGACCCGCGCATGCCATGCCGATTGCGTCGAAGTTGCCTGATTCTGTTATACGGCGCCGGTTGTTTAAAACATGGAGAGAAGACCGGGTTCCGCTCTGACCATGAATGAATCGATCAAATCTTCACCCTTCGACAGCTGCTAGAGCACCCTTGTACCTTCCGTAGACCAACGATTATCGAGTTCATAAACATTTGCGCGGCCTTCGACTTTGTCGATAGGGCTGCACTGTGGAACTTTGTTGAGAAGTGGATTACATCATGATTATGCGTCGGTCCTCAAAGAGTGGTATCGTCACCCCAGGTTGGGTTAGGAACTACGGTCACCTTTCGCCCCATTTTGTCTTCTCCAGCGAAGATTGCCTGATATCCCCATTTCTTTTCAACTTTACCTTAGATGAGGCACTTGGAATATTCTGATAACATCGCCCTGGTGGGTGACAATGGTTGGGCAAAGCCACACGTTCTGAACCGCCTGGCGATCGGGGTATCCCTTTATGGTATACACTTTGAATTTTCGAAGTGCGAAGTACTTTTACGAGGCTGGTAGGGCCCCGCGCAGGCACTCAACCTTTGTGGTGATCAGCTAGAGTTAGTAGGTAACTTTAAATACCTCGAGGGCTTGATTACAGCTTTCAGTCGTGTTTAGGAGATCGCATGACGAGCAGCGAGAACCAGCGCAGTTTTCGTGCACCTGCGATACCTGTGGCGCCACCGTGATATTTGACTCTCCTTTTAGGGACGAGCTTACAGTGTCGCGGTTCGTAGCGCTTTGTTTTATGGTTGTGAGACTTAACCACTCTCCACTGAAGATTCTTGGTAGCCTCCCGTACTTGACCACCGATGCCTCTGAAGCGTCTGATGGGAACATCAAGGGAGCGGTGACGATGCTCGTCCCGTGTGTTATGTTCGGGTGCTCATCTTCTAACCGAATTGATAGCTCTACACCACCTACGAAGGCTCGGATATGTTTTGTGTATACTCATTATTATTATGCATATGGATCGGAGTCAAGCGTGATGCCATAATGTTCATAAAAGAAGTGGAATCCACGTAAATTATTCGATGGTCGTATGCCTGCCAGTCGTCTGCTTTTCCGTGCTCTATTCGCGCGTGCTGGGCGGGGCTGGAAGGGGTGACGCGGCGGCCAGGCCATAACTTAGCGTAGCGGCTGCAACTCAAGGGATGAAGATTGGAGGTAATTAGATACATTACGAGTCAGTGCTCTCTCTCTCTCTCTCTCTCTCTCTATATATATATATATATATATATATATATATATATATATATATATATATATATATATATATATATATATATATATATAGTCCATCACTGAAACTAACTGAGGCGGCCATATTCCGCCCTTCATGTGTAGAATTCGTCCCGAAGCTACCGCCACGTGCCGCGTTTCGTTACTAGCCAGTTGCTGTGCTACGTCACCAACCATATGGGTTTTTTCCAGTTCAGTTAGTTCTCTTTTGTACCGTAGTCACAATTTTAAAGTAGCCGTTTGCTGACATTCGTGCATTGCGTCTTGTGGCAGCTTTTTCGAGTATGATCAAGAGCACCGTAGGACCTTGGTATGCTGGTCATGTCCGCTTATGTTCCAGTGCTTCCAGGTGGTTCAGAGTGGTATTACTCACCGTTCTCGCTTCCCAGTTGTTATGCATCTCCAATTTCTCCCTCGGAGGAATTATTTGCTTGACGCCTATATGGGCACATTTTGTCCTCTTTATCTCACCTCTCTTTTACAGGCCCTGAACTGCTTACTAGCAGTTTTATCGAACTCATCGTCCGCCTTCTTAAGGCTTACTGTAGTTGCTGGTTGCCTGCCCCATCGTCTGCGTTTGTCCATCGGACAACCCCTGGTCTATTTGTCTACCATTCCTGGTTCGAAGTGTTTTGTGCCGAGTTACGATCCCCGCACGGTGCTAAGAGAACGTCCTGCGCAAATAATGAAAAGTGATGCAGTGTTTGATTGTCCTGTCGATCCAACTCGGGCAGTCGTCAATCACTTGTTTGTCTATTCCGAACCGTCCAGTCCCGATCGAGTTTCGGTTGAGCTATTCACTCGGTCTCCCGAATCGAAAAAACCGTTACGGGTCCGACTTAACCGCCCGTTGGATGAGACGATTTCGCGATTATTTGAACGACTCACCTCGTCCATGACTGCAAGTAAGAAGCAGCCCAGCAGTCCGATCGAGTGCACACTTTATCGATCCAGATCGCTGTCCGTCGGGGGACTGGAGAGAATAGAACCTTGTAGTACCGTAAGCCAAGTGTTTGCCTCAGGCGAGGAATCGGATGGGATACACGATGCAATCTATCTCCTAATTCAAAGCCAGACTGATCTCCTCTACAAAGCCAGCTTCAATCCAGCCCGAGTCCTAAAATGTCGTTTGGAGATACGACCAATGGTCGATTGTCCAGTGGTGCCCCGCTTGGAAACCTCAAACATGACTGTTGAGGAGTCGGAATTCGCCTGGTTTGTGACGAAGGTCAGTTGGTCATCTATCTTCTGGTTTGGTCAATGTTTCCGGTGTCGGTTTTGTTGTTTTTGATGATGTGAATACGCATACAAATATAAGTAGTGAAGTTTGTTTTGCATATGAAATGATTTGCCAGGCACTATAACCGCTCAGCTCCCAACATTCTAGGCCATGGAAGTACTAGACAGGTGCTATTTTATCCCGATCATTAGCGATCATCAGCTGCGGTGCACACCACCGTTTTCCCTCCGCCCGGGACTCGAACCTCGGGTAATGATTGGGAGTCGAACACCTAACCACCGGGCTATCCGGTTTGTTTAACGTCAACACTATGTGATACGGCATCCTTTTGTCATTTACTTTTGGTAGGCACCAACCCGTCGCGCGCGCACACAGCATCCTGCTTCTATGATAAACGATCTCTACGTAGGGTGGCATACGTAAAATAAATCACTGCACGCGATTCTCAGGCACAACCACCTGGGAAAATATCATATGTAACTGTACTATTTTGGGATAATTATTTATCACGATTTCATTCAACACTAATTGAGTGAAAAACAAGCACCGTTCTACCACGTTTTAAGTTCTTATTCGTCGCTCGGATTGGCTTACTTGTAAGAGCAACTGATCGCAAGACGACTATGTTGTTGTCTGAACCCATATTGAATTTGTTGACTACTTTTTTAGGTGCTGTTGATCAATTAGGTGGATGGCGTGGCTTTTGTTACAAATCATACCTATTTGTCCGAAAATGTGCTCGCAAAGAAATGCTCGCTAGCTTTCTTTTTTTTTCTCCGATGTGAGACGAAATTGGTCGAGATTTTAACGGTTGTGTGTATGCAGTTGAGCTGTATCTGAATAGGTGTCTAATCACTCGACACAAGCACTTAGCATGCTTCCATCGAGTCACGTGTTGCATTGCTGTACGGGAACGCGAGGTGGTTTCAGAAAAAAACAGGAACGAAATATGATAGCAACTTCAAAGTTATTTCGCACCTCCACTGTTTGTTGCTGGTGTAGTTGATTCTATGAATATATTCACCGCAACTGCTCTCAATCAGGAATTGGACAGATCTGTGAATACACGTTTACAAGACTTTCGCTCGACTGTGCACGAGGTCTACTGCTCCAGTTTACCAGTTCCCTGTTGTCTTAACCGTCCAACCAAGTGCGAACATAACCTACAATGACCGGTGGTGGTCGAGTGGTTTGAAGCTTTTGGTTGCCACCTTAGAGGTCAGAATTTAGAATCCCCGCCATCACCGGCTACTTTGGTCGCAGACAGTAATCCACTGTCGTCCGGATCGGTACCACACCTGACCTATTGGTATCTTATGTGGTTCTCTACTCCAGTTATCAGGGTCTGGGTGCTGGTTTTCCTAATGGCGCAATGCGCTTTTGTGGCTATGGGGTATATACTCCTTCAACTACACTCATACGCAGGCATGTAATAAAAAAAGTTGAATGTCGGTTCATCGCCAGATGTACTCGTTACCTACAAAAATGCTTCATCGGTTACCGAGCCCCGTCCGCTTGCCGCACGGTGCTACAGTTCAGCCCAGTCTATTCAACCATTAACCTCGCATTTCTGTGCTATGATTTCAGTTGCTACTTCCCAGGATCGTCGAGTCAGGGAAAAAAAGGATGGAATCATAAAGTAATAGGGGCGAAAACAAATTTACATGTGGAAATCACGAAGACAATGAAAGGGTTCGAATGCAACTACCCCACTGGCCTCGACAGGTAGCCATATCACCTGATGTCTCCACCCATCTGGTAGTGAGGTCGCATGAACCCCAACCCGGAAGTCTAACAAGTCCTACTTGGTCAAGGTCTTAATACTTTTCTGCCATGTCATGGGCTGACCGCGACCTACTTTTCGACCACTAATAGTCTGGGAAAACAGCGTAAGTCGAGGGAGTCTATCAGTGGGCATGCGTAACACACGTCCCAGCCGCCTTAATCTGTTTAAATTCAGTACTTGATCCACAGACTGATCTCTGGCTCCCAAAACCCTACGCTTACCTCAGCATTCCTGATACGGTGTTCCCACAATATTCGGGCAATGCTACGGAGAAATTAACGCTCGAACATCGATCGTGTTCCCCTGTCTTCTACCCGTAACGGCCATTTTCTGAGCCGTACAAAAGAGCCGATCTCACTGCCGCAGTGTACACTCGACACTTGACAGACAGTCGGATGTCACACCAGCACCACAGTTGACCGAGGTTAGCAAAAGCCAAACGCGCCTTCTGTTTACGTCATTACACTTCATCCGATGTCTGCCCACTCGGTGAGATGTAACTACCCATGGTATAAAGCTTACCTATTTCAGCTAGAGATTCCCCCGCCAAGAGAAGGTTTGGTGTGCAGCTAACCCAGTCCTATAACAGCATTTCACACTTCAAAGGTTCAGAACTTGTCCCAAACATTGCTACACTGTTGTTTAGGCTATCTAAAAAAGCTTACAAGCTACCTGAATCTTCACTCACAAGAACAATATCGTTCACATATTCAAATGAAACAGTTTATTGCTTGAGCACAGATCAATGCCACTATATTCTTACACGAGGATAGGGCTATCCCAAGAATCAATTCAATTACAAAACTCAAGGAGGGTAAAAGAGGGAAACCCTGACGATAATGACCTCGGGTGAAAGATCGCTGTAAGCACGAACTCCGCCTTGGGCATTTGCTCACAAGCATTAGAAAAGAGAAATACATTTCTCTGACACCTTTCAATGGGAGGCAGCTCCAGAGAACTGTGTGGTCAAGCGAGTTGAATGCCGCCTTCGGATCAAGGGAAGTAGAAACTGTCAGCCTATGGAAAGTATCCCTGGAAAGCAGATCGTCGGTTATCGTCTAGAAGCAACTGCGTGGTACGGGTGGCTTTAGCGTGGGTGCGACCACGGACAGGATGCAAACAGAAGTGAGCGCGTACCAAGATGTGGTCTGAGTTCACAGGCTTAGACCAAAATGAATGACAATCTTCAACTGATTCACGCCACCGGTGACCAATGACAATATGGTCAATCTGACTCCAATATTGTGCAGACGTAGTAGGACGCCATGTCATTCTATGTCGTCTCTTGTAGCAGAAGTTCGTACTCCAGAAATAGTCTATGGTCGAAACACAGCTGAATGAAACAGTCACCATTTTCAGTAGGATCGGCTGCGATAACAAATGGGCCTCCGACGTGCCTTTCTGAATCCCCCGAACGGCCAACTTAGTCTTTGAAATCCCCAGCAATGACAACCGCGTTTGTTGAACGTACGCTCCGTAGCGGTTGAGACAAATCGTGTTAGGATTCCTTTTTGGGCTCAGAAGAACTGCAGTCAGTGGGCTCATACATTAACACGATGAACAATCATTGACGGTTCATTTTGTTGCTGTTGACACGAACAGTACCGTTCGTGTCCTATTCTGCGTTCCTCCTCGGGAGTGGAGGAGACCACGTGGAGGTCAACAGATGACGTGGCAGCGAGGAATGAGAAAATGTACGGCAAACTTAGGAAAAGTAGGTGCTTCACGTCTTCGTGGTTGGGGTCCAAAAGATCCCTCAACCAGTTGGCTGGAGAGACTGAAGGATATGGCAGCGAACCGCGAGCAGTGGCGATCATGTTGTCACTTTCTATCGAATCAGAATAACTGATCGATGTGTGTTTGTACAGTTAGACCGTGCACTCCGTGTGTTGTCTACTAGTGCGTTCTTTCGTTTTCCCACCGATGTAGGTCCAATCCCTGTTCATCTTGTATATTCATACTTTCTAATTCAACGTGCAACATGGTGAGAAAGGCAGCGGTCAGTGGGGCTTGCCCTACTGTTTAACGCTGTACGATGATGATGATGATGATGATGATGATGATGATGATGATGAACAGTACCGTCCAACCAAACTGCACTCAATCGACTGTTGACTGGGATGCAGTCCAGCAGTGCACGCTGAACTCTCATTATCAAAGCAGTCCCAACGCCGGCCTGACCGCGAGCACTCGACACAAGAAGAATGAAGCGAGAGACTAAGGTTGTATCTCGGATGCGAAGAGTGATCACAGAAGTAAGGTCCCGTATGCGTGCTTGGTCGACACAGCATGTGTCTGTTCTGAAGGCTTCAGGAACTCAAACAAGGCCAGCCTATTACTTTTTCTGAGATAGTGTGAGGACGTTGACGACAGCCAGTTGAAGCAAACATGTAGGCTTAAGGAGTTTGTTTGATTTATGCCCGACTCCTGAACTACTACTTTCTTCAGAGCCGCAGTTACCCATGGCGTCTTACATCGATCTTGAATTATAGGAGGGGAAATTGGTAAGGCACTTTACACGAAGGATGCTGGAGGCTTCTGGGCAAATCATACTTCGCGACTGCCCACACCGCAGAGAGAGTTTTTCTTTGGGAACACTAACCGGAGCCTTTGACTCAAAAGTCTGACCAACAAGACAGTGGGGCGTGAACCCAGCACGGGAATGTGACCGAAGCACCCGTGAAGGAACTTCTTCTGATCTGTCACGTGAGACTCAGTTGACCATACAACGCCATTCAGTGCTGTTCACCAAAAACGAATGCCACAGAAGTTCATGAATCTACTAAGGTCATTGTACTCTCATACACCTGGCCGCGTAAGGGTTTACGGTGAACTGTCCAGTTCATTTGAGACAACCAGCGGTGTTCAACATGGATGTCCCATGTCTCCATTCCCGTTCAACTTCGTCATGGACGAAATAATGGAGAATGCTTTGCGAAATCTTCAGGATGTGGGCGTCAAACTAGGAAATGGTGGAAAACTGTGACCTAAATTGCGCCGACGACCTTGTCTGCTTAATCGAATGCATGGGACGTGCGCGATTCGCGCTGGCCATACTTGCAAAGCTGTAACTCCATTCAACATGCGCTTTGCACCTTCAAAGTGTAAAGTGGTGTTTCAAGACCGGATTTCAACGGTCTCGAGCTTGATCTTCGATGGGGAGGTGCTAGTGATTGTCGACCACCTCAGTTACCACGGTAGC